TAGTTGATATCAATTGAAACCCACATGCTACAATTTTGCTATCACAATGCTAAATTACAAATCAATATAGGTGTAACAACAACATAATATATGTAAATATAATATAACATAATGAAATTTATGTTATTTCTATAATATTCAATCAGAGTTTTATTAAAATAAAATAATTAAATTCAATGTATTTTTAGTTTGAATGTCAGCAGATCAGGAAATAATATTTTTATAGCTTATATCACTCCATTCACATTTACTATAAAGCGACAACTTTGCTGATAGAATGCTAGGTTAAAAATCAATCTAGGTGTAACAATAAAATAATTAAATGTAACTATAATATAATATAATAAAATTTCTGTTATTGCAATAATATTAAATCTGTTTCATTAAAATAAAATAATTCAATTCAAATTATGTTTTAGTTTGAATGTCAGCAAGTCAGGACGTAATAATAATAATAATAATGTTTATTTAGTCATCTTTCAGACAATGTAATACAGAACATGTTGTATACATATTTAATTAGTACATAGTTCAGTTTTTTAGTCATATGACAACGCTTAGATTAGAACAAACGTTATATTATTGTTATACAATTATATTTTTGTTTATACATATTTGGTGTCTTGTTGCGTGGTGTAAGCTTTTTGTGCGGGGCATCCAAGTTGTGTGAGCGTTGGGAAGTGTTGTATATTTTAGTGTAGTGTTTGCGAGGGTTGGGCACTCGTCTCCGGTGTATTACCCCCCGTATAGGCCGGATCATATCAGGATCGAACCATCGATCTCTCAGTCCGTAACTCGATCTGTGCAATGCTTAGCTCTATTTCCATGAAATAAACCAACTGAGCTGAAGCAGTCGAGCATAATAATATTTTATCATGCATAATAATTTTTAGTTTGATTTTTAAATTTAATTTAAAAATGTTGTCCACATCAACAGTAATTAATGTATTATTGAAAGCATTATTATTGTCTGGATTTCTATACCAAACATATAAAATCAGTTTAATATACTTTTCATACGACAAAACTACCAGTGTCAAGTTTAGCGATGTGGTGAGTGTACCGGCGTTTACAGTATGCATGCGAACCGAAGACCTGATACGATCGGAGATAAGGTATAAATACTTTGACGATGATGGTGATTTTATAAGAGATGTATTCGCCAATCAGTCTATGAATGAGCAAATGAATGAAATCATAGACTTTGATGATTTATTTAAATGTAATATCCAATATAAAAATGAAATAGAAAATTGCAGTAAGGTAGCCCAGTATTCCCGGTCGCTCACTTCACCGAGTACTCGGTTTTGTTTGACAGTATTGTTTCAACGGGTGGGTAATGAGTCGAAGGAACTTTATCAGGAAAAATTTCGGGAAAATAAAGGCGACGTGGCTATTAGGTTTAGTATAACAAATAAAACAATGATTCAGTGGTTGCGTGTCCATGTGCATTCAAGCCAGGAAAGGCTACGAGACATTAACCGCAACGGTAATTGGGCGGGCAATCCAAATAATTATAGCTATTTAAAAATTTCTTACCGGTTAAAAACCGTCAAATTTAGTCACATACTAAATAGTGATAAATGTTTAAATAGCCATTTATTTGATAAGTGCGTAATTAAATGCATGGTTCGCGAAATTTGCCAAGAAAGTGAATGTTTTTCCTGTAACACACTACTTTACCACGACGATGATGGTTTTAATAATCTGAACCATTTGTATAATAATGGTTCAATTGATTGTATTTCGTCGTCTACTTATGAATCATATTGCTTGAACGAATGCAATGAAATTGAGTGCATTACCAACTATTTCATCCCTCAATACACCGCGAAAAATATATCATACCATGTTACAGATTTTGATATTGACTTATATTTTCCGTCAGAACCCGATATTATATACGAGATATCATTAAAATTATCGTTTGAAGAGTTCTTGTTATATATCGGTTCACTTGTAAGCCTATGGTTTGGTGTATCAGTTATTATGTTCACTAATCTAATCACACAATTATCCCACAAATATAAAATTTATTTCTGCAAAAAGAAGACCATTAATGTCACTAATAATATAAATAATGTCAATAATCCAAACATTGAATTGAATTTAAACATTACAAATCATCAGCATTTAACTCGTAATAATTCTATTCAACCACGTGTTTCGCGTTTAAACAAATATAATAATCCTCGTCAAATATTACAATTGCCTAATAGTATTATTGCCGATAGTGTTGTGTGAACTATGTTTTACTGATTAATGTAAACTCTATATTAATTATAACATTCTGTATATTTATTGCAATAAAAATATTTATAAAAATAGTATTAAAATTACTTGACTATTTTGCACTGTTGGACAAAAATTCAATTAATTTAGTGCTTAAACATATTGGTCATATCATTAACACTCATATGTCATCTACCCAGGCACATACCCACCCCCGTCCTAGACCCCTCGAAGTGGGCAAAAAACATGACAAATCGATTTTGACATAAAATTCTCTGTTGTAATCACGTGATTTTAATATTTTTTTGCCACAAAAAAGTTAATATATAGAACTCTATTTTACATTTTACGGATATTATTTAGCTTTAAGGTAACCAATTCCGCCATCTTTCTTACCTTGAGTAGAGTGTTATAAAGTTTTAATATACATTAGTATTATACATTAATGTTTTAATTAAATTACTAATGTATATTAAAACTTTATAGCACTCTACTCAAAGTAAGAAATATGGCGAAATTGAAGAGCCTGAATCTAGCTCGTTAGTTTGGGAGATAATCGATTTTTCCAGGCGCGTATACTTTTTAAATGATTAGATTATATTATATTTCAATTAAATTCTTTTTTAGCTAATTGTAATATTGATTATACACATTCGAGTCAAAACAATTATCAATTGATTTTAAATAAAAAATAAAAGTTTTATTTAATTCAATAGAATAAAATTTTGACGGTTCTTGGGTTCGTAGATCAGCGCACAAAGAGGGCCTTCGAGATGAAAACTCAAATGCGTGAACTTACTCTATAAAGCAAACCGTACAGAACGGTGGAACGGGACCTTTTCTGCGTTTAAGCGAACGGTCTTTACCGTCGATGTATGGCATGGGATATGGGTATCGGTATGAATAGTCGGAACTGACGCACTGGTCTGTATCGGTCGGGACTAATGTTGATGGCGGTGGGGCTCACGGGTTGTCATATGAATGAGAGTGCGGAAAGAGGGCATAGTTTGTGGCCTCGGGTCACATACTCAGTAATGTAAAACTTACTCGGGAGGAATAGCAGTAAAAAGTTTAGAGAGACATGAGTTGTGAACGCAATGAATGTTGTTTTCAAACTTAAGTGTCGAGAGAGAGAGAGAGAGAGAGAGTCCTTTTATTATGGCTTTTTGATGTACATATTCATTACAAAGTTGTTTTGTGTTTACCGTTATGAGTTTAAGTCTATGGTTTCGTATCTCAGTACGGTATTGAAATATACTAGTTTGCTATCGTTTTGTAAGTCTTGTTATGACAAATATATTTATGTATGTAAGTGGATTGTTAATCGTTATTAACTATTATTAAATGTGACAAAACATAATTAGACGTAAAAATACAAATATGTTGAGAAAGTGTTGCGATCGGTTAACGGAATAATAGTTGTTTTCAATTAACAAGTTTGGGTCATAAACGGGTAAAATGGTTTTTGAAGTCAAATTCTAAAAATTAAAATGTAAGATCAAATTTCATGCAAAACTAAATGTAAAAATAATGGTAAAAATAACAACACAGCACACGATATAAGTCAATAAAAACTCGAAGCCTTAACCTCCCGTGTCTATGGCGACGGCCCTCGTCTCTCACGCTTGCATATATGCATACATATAATATATGCTTAACTCATACCAACTTTTATACTTATAATAGGAAATAAAAGAGACGTAAAAATTCAGCAAATTTATTTATTATTCATTAAAATTTTACAGTAAGCAAATTGTAACAATTATTCTGAAATTAATGTAAATTTGTCTTGGTCGATAGCACCGTTGTCCTGGCACTTTGCCTTCTTAGTGTTTTGCTTCACAACACACGCTTCATTAGGCTTGCATGGTTTATCGCCATGCTTTAATTTGTTACATAAGCTTATAACCTTGTCTTGATCAATCGCGGCCGCATTTGCTTTGTACATGAGCGTTTCACCATGTTTGGCAATTTTGTTCTTGCCCCGCACCGCCAATGCCACCACAACGATCATGGTCAGCAATACAGTCGTTGACCACATTTTCAATAACATTGCTTCGGCTTATAAATTGAGATTTATTTAATTTGCAATTTTTTACTATTAATAAAAACTGTTTGTTTATAATATAACATATGCCACGTTTCAATGTTTTTTTAATTAGATCGTGGTTTGTTTGTAATTCAACATTTTAATTAATAACGTCAATAAATTATCGTATTAATTATGGTATTAGAGAATAAAAGTTGATAGGTATTTAAATATAAATATATACAGGTATATAATTATTAGCATATAATTACTAGCATATAATTATTAAGCAACATATTATGCTCTATTTGTTTTTATAAATGTAATTAAATTTAAATATGATAATTAATTTGATATTATATTTGTTTAATAATTGTCGTTATTAAATAACAATTAAAAATATATTTAAATACTCGTCACAAAAATCTGATAAAAATATAAAATTATATGTGTATTTAAATGTGATTATTGAGAAAAAATATCAACTTACTATCTAAATAATTTTTACTCAAGTACTCAAGTTTGTTACTCAAGTTTAACTAATTAAATATAATACAATCAAATATATATTTATACAAATTATGCCAGCGGTGGCAAGGTAAAGGCCAGCGTATGAACCGATATGCATTATAGCTCTTCCATCAAAGCTAATAAGTCATTTGATAGTATGTATAAAAATTAATATTTTATTTTAATCTATGTTAATTAATAATTTATGGTTAATTGTCAATAGAATTGATCAAGGAACATGCTGGCCGCCGGACACGAGACCACAGCCTCGCAGTTGTGTCTCATTACTCGCATACTTGCGCTCAAACACTGGTATCAAACAAAACTGGTTCACGAGATTCATAACACACTGTATACTAAGGATACCAATGAGTTGTCTATGGATTACGACAAACTGCAAAAAATGCCATTTTTGGACGCATTTATCAAAGAAGTGATGCGAATTAACTGTTCGATCACCCGGTATGTAGTGTTGCCACATGTGTAGGAAATGATTAAACTATTTATTCAATATACAGAATTGAGAGACACCCTACTATTGACACTCATTTAGAGGGCATTTATTTGCCTAAAGGCACACCTATTATAATACCCATTTGGGCACTACATTTAGACCCTGACAACTTTTCGGATCCTTTAGAGTTTAAGCCGGAGCGTTTTCTACCCGAAAATCTAGATAACATAAAACCGTATACATACCTACCCTTCTCTACCGGTCCGCGCAATTGCATTGGTTTGCGATTCGCGATATTAGAGCTCAAGTATACGTTAGTTAAGTTGTTGTGTAGGTATGAGTTTGTGCCGTGCAATGAGACCAAGGTTAGTTTAATTTGTCTAGATTTAATACTTATACTTTTCATTTAATTGTCATATTTATTTATATTTATAATAGGAGATGGATTATTTTAACCCCCTGATTCAAATAGCAAGTGTAAAACGCATGTTCGTTAAAATTAAGCATCGTGATGAATTTGATTAATTCAATAATAAATAACAATAAAGTAGATTAGAATATCTTTTAATTATTCGGTCATTTGGATATGTTCAGGCCTAACTGTTTTCTAGTGTAGATAAAATTATGAAAATGGTATCATAATTTAAGTCAACATTCCTAAGCACCAGAAACGAAGTTTCATTAAGATTGGTTGATTAATGTTTATACTAGAAATTTTTAAAATGTATCAGTTGGGATTATTTTTACAAATTTGTGCAAAAATATTTGGTGAAAAATTTTTACATTTTTAAAGTTAAAATATTTTTACAAAATACACGTTTAAAGTGATTATTTGGATATTGATATTCACAATTAGTTATCCGACAATAGTTTTAAGAAGATTTCATGACATCAACTATAATGGAAATCAAATGCAAACCGACCGAACACAGGCCGCCAATCGGGTTGACTACCGATAGAGATTTGACCACAGCTGGGGTACCGGTCAATGTTGGCCATTGAATAGCATATCATTAGATCCATTAGATATTGAAGATTTCAGAAAAGGAAGGGTTTTACATTATCTCTATTATTGTTTAAGCATGATCAAATTTAGTCTTAAATCACACGTCAATAAATACTGAAATAGCCACTCTCCCATAGGAATACATTATTTTGGCAGGTGTCATATAAAATATTCCTGTGCCTGAACTATTGATGCGAATTTTATGAAACTTGGTCTCTGATGCCTAGGAATGTTACTTAAAAATATGATTTCATTATAAAAAATGGATCATTTTCATAATTCTATCTACACTAGAAGATAGTTAGGCCCGAACAATATCAAATGACCTAATATATAAAGTTATTATACAGTGTATGTAATTTCACTATTTTCAATGTGTAAATTATGCTAATATTACATTATATTTTGTGTATTTTTGTATCACATTATTAAATTGTAATTATTTATATACTCTACGAATAATCAAGACAGTTAAACATAATACTATGTATAATAAAATTTATTTATTTGTTGATTGATTTTCATCACGATGTGCTTGGTGGATCATCAGGCAAATTGGAACATGATCAATTCTGTTTCTCTGCGATTTTTTTTTAATGAAGAGCGTAATTTTAATATGAAATAATAGATAGCATCAGTAGTTCCATGCTTAATGTTAAATATAATTATAATTAAATCATTACAAGCAATCACCATATGTGCATAATTTATATTAAAAATTAATTAAATTATTTAACACATTGAATACATCGGAGCAAAACAATCGACATTTTTAAAACATGATGAGAATTGTCATTGTGTTGGCATTGGCTTGTAAGTATACTTTTTTATCATGATCATTTTACAATTGTGTATAGACATTGTGGAATTAAAAACTATTTTATAATGATTGGTTTTTCAATATTAAAACCTTACAATAATAAACCCACATATAACCTATACATGTATAACTAATATTGAAAATTATAATAATCACACTAAATTCTAATAGTGTATAAACAAGCTACAGATTATTATTATTACCCTAGGTACTATGTGCAACGCTAGCATCGAGAATCAAAAGTGGCTGATTGATTTGTTTGAAAACTGGGAGATATTTGGTACAGGTAAACCTCTACCGGATACCAACGAGTCCATCACTGCCTATTGCAATAAACTCGGTTACATAAAAGAATCATCAAACAAATTGTAATTATTATTCATTATTTTATCATGTTTATTTACAATTTTACTTATTTGTAATATAAAAGTTTTTATAGCTGCTTAGTTTTTAAAATTAATTTCCTATTGAGTGGTTGCACTGTAAGTCACAATGAATTGCAATAATTTTTAATACATGTTAAATTGTACCTAGGGCGGTCGAGTTGCAAGGTAAAATAAACATTGACCTGTCGTTAAAGCCGGCAGTGCGCGAGATCTTACTGACAGCGGCTAAGCCCGAGTTCTACGAGCGGTTTATGATTCTGTGCAAAATGGACAGAATGCAGGCCATCAAAGTGATCAAGGGCGTCAATCAGCACATGCGCGCGACTAAGGCTATCAAATGGGATGCTATCGGACACATGTTGGAAGCGTTGGAACCCAATTCAAAAATGACCCTTGCACATATTTTGTGGTATGCAATTTAGTTAGAGTAACCTTCTGACCAAGTTGGGATTGAATTTTTGGGACAATAGATGTGAGAGAGTGAGTGAGTGAGTGAGAGCGAGAGAGTATTATTTTATTAAACTCGCACACTATACAGTATACAACACAAAATACATTTTAGGCTAGATTCACTTGGTCACATTGAGTCACTCTATAAGTAATAAATTATAAAAGTGCACAAAATTAATTTGTTTACCTTAAAATTTTAGCATAGCCCGTACTTACATCACGGTAACAATCAGAATACACGATGATATAGATGGTGTACAAGAATACGTGCGCAATAGACTGAGCTATTTCTTGCATGATGTGGAAAAGGCCGAACAATTGACCAAGGTGAACGCCGAATGGGAATGCGACTTTCACGAGTATAAAAAGAATGAGCTACCCTACGAATCATTTTCCTACGTGTTTGTCAAAGTGCTCGAAAAATTAATCCAATAATTATTTATTTAAATGAGCTGTACTAGATTATGCTTGCATTAAAATAATAAATTGCAAAATTGTTGATAATACAAAATTATTTTATTGCATACATTTTTAAGTTTAATAATAACTAATAGAAATAATTATTTTTGTATATGATTGATATTGCAGTAGTAGTTTTACAAAACCATTATGGTATAATTAATGAGTTAAATATTGACTTATCAATATATCAATCAATATATTAACTTAAAAGTACTA